TAAGGCGCATTGTTGGCAATTCAACTTTGACATTTGAAGAAATGACAACATTACTTTGTCAAATAGAATCTTGTCTGAATTCTCGGCCTATTTCTAAAATTACTGAGAATCCAGACAATCCAATCCCACTGACACCAGGGCACTTTTTTGGTGGGAGAACCTCTGGTTTTACCCCCTGATGTCAATTACGAAACATCTAATATCACAAATCTCAGACGGTGGCAAATGACTCAAAAAATGACACAAGATTTTTTGGCGTCGTTGGTCAAATGAATATTTGAGTCAGTTTTACCATCGTTATAAATGGAATAATATTGTTCCTGAACCTACAAATGGAGATTTAGTGTTAGTAGTGGAGGATGATCTTCCACCTGGAAGATGGTTATATGGTATTATAGTTGAAAAACATCCCGGATTGGACGGAATTACGCGAGTTGTCAGTCTAAAATGTAAAAACAATGTAATTAAACGACCTGTTTCTAAATTGTGTTTTTTGCCAATTACCAACTAATGTTGATTTTTTTGTTGGCTCTCGAGCCTCATATGTTCGTTTTAGCACGTATTAGTAAGAAAGCATGCAATGTGGTAATATTTTTATTTTGTATTTTTTTTGTGTTTGATGTTAAATTCTCGTAAAGATTTTCGTTAGTATTCATGTTTTGATCGGTTAGCTGTCTTAAGGAAAATTTTTGAAAATTTGTCCTTGGTGGGCTGTATGTTTACGACCTACCGTCACTTTATTTTATATTTTTGTTCACGCGATTTGTAATATGCATTGTCATTGTGTCATCTTAGATTCTGAGTATTGATCACATCTAACATAAAAATTTGTGTTGTAATTAATATAAACCTGTGCTAAAGAAAGTAATGTGTACTTAAATTGCTCATTGTTAACATTCAAGTTGAAGGAAATAAACCGAAAGTTCATATGTATGCAGTTTTATCATTTCACAATTTCAATTGGTGTTAACAAAAAAAAAACGTAGATGAAAGCCATCAGCGATACAAAAAAGAGGGAGTTTTATTCAGTATGCCTGAAATTAATTTACATAACTTCTAAGTTCTCGTAGCGGAGGCAATATTAAATTTAATGAAAAAATATTAATATTTTAGAGATGAAACTAAACAGTAACATTATTGAATTCGTAACTTTCATAATACATATCAAAATTTGGTAATTTTTATATTTTAAGTTAAATTATATTTTGTTATTTCCATCCAACATTCAAAGCCTACAATAGTATATCGCTCAAGAAAAGGCCCTTTTGTTCCCTCATAGGAGGAATTTTGTTTCACGCTTGGTAGGCGGGTTAGCAATAGTAGTCTTTATAATTTCGAGTTGTTATCAGGAAAATGGTGCTGCTTATTGTTACGAGTTTGTGTACAATAAAAACTGCTGATCGATTTACCAAGATTGACACTTTAATTACTAAACACCAACTACAACTTAAAACACAATAATAATAAACCACAATTGTACTACTGATCACTTTAGTTTGCAATCATATCGCTTCAAAGTATTCTCTCAAATTCCATACTGACTCAGTCGCGGTCCTTACCAGCCTTATATATGGTCTCTTCTACTTAAACATCTAGAATTTATTTATATTTATATTTTAAAAACAGTGTACATGCTGGCTTACAGTTTGCCCAAAACGTCAGCATGCTAATTAACAAATTACAGTTTTAAATAATAGTATAATCAAGATACATGTCAAAAGGTCAAACAAATTAAAGAATACGTGTCCAGTAGATCAACTAAATACCAAAAAAAAAAAAACTACATGCCAAATAGATTAAAAGTCAAATAAGTTAAGCAAAATGTCATTGTCAGATTGATTACATAAGATAGGATTAAGATAATACTAATAATATTACAATTTGTCAAAATGGCACGAGAAGTGGGCGCGTGAGCGCCGTACCTGGTGCGCGCCGGCGGCTGCCACAGAAGGCGAGGACGCCGCTGTGGTGCCACCGTCCCCTCCACATCACAGCCCAGCCGCTTCGGAGCCAAAACCCCTACTCTACTTAATATCATCGGACTATCTATAAGATTATGGATGATTTCTAGGTAGTGTGTTATCAACTGCATAATTCGCCTAAGTTTAAGCGTGTCCAAACCCACCATACCATTAACAAATAAGGACGGATATAGATAGGGGTAGTAACCGTATTTCTGTTTATATAGCCATCGTGCAAATTTGCGCTGTATTCTCTCTATCATCAAAATATATTTTTCCTCATAGGGATTCCATACAATGGCACCGTACTCAAGCTTACTACAAACATATGCATTGTAAAGTACCAAAGCGACCTCTAATCTATCAAACTGTGAAGAAGTGCGAATAACGAAGCCAAGCAATTTACTGGTCTTTTTACATACAGTAGTCACATGGTTATGAAAGTCAAGTTTAGCGTCTAACAATAATCCTAAGTCACGAATTTCACTTACCCTTACTAAGGGCGTGACAGATAATTTATATTCTTTTTTTAGACAGCATTTACGCGTGAATGTTATTATTTTACATTTATTACTATTAAACGGAAAATGATTTAATACACTCCAATACATAACCGCATCGATGTCGACTCGCAGTCAGACGGGTCATCTATACCTAGGCTTAACTTGAGATCATCCGCGAACAACAGACATTTGGAGGCAGTCACGCTATTCGGTAAGTCATTAATGAAAATAAGAAAGAGCAAAGGCCCCAACGTATTTCACTCACTCCAGATCTTGTGTAATAGACACTAGACTCAAATGCACCCACTTTTACAAACTGACGTCGATCGCGTAAGTAATTTGAAAAAAACTTGACGAGTGCCGGGGCAAAGCCTATCACCGCCAATTTACGCAACAAGATATCGTGGTCGACCAGGTCAAATGCTTTCTTAAAATCGAAGTACGCAGCATCCACCTGCCTACCAGCATCCAATTCAGCATATGTATAGTCAAGATGAGACACAAGATTGGTAGTTGTAGAACGGGCAGTTCGAAAACCGTGTTGACTATCATGCAATAATTTTTGAGTTTGCTTATTAATTTGCTGACATAAGACAGTTTCAAATAATTTTGCAAAGACTGACAAGACTGCAATCGGTCTAAAAGATGAAACGTCATTTTCACCATTAGTTTTTGGAACCGGAGTAACCTTAGAAACTTTCCAAATTTCTGGATACTTATACTGAGTCAGTGACAAGTTAAAGAGGTACTGGAGTGAACTCTCGAAAGCGGATATGCAGTCCTTTGCTAAAAAAACAGGGATACCATCAGGGCCACACGTCGACCTCAGTTTTAGCCGCCTTACTGCTTCCTTCAACTTGGTATTATCAATAGTATTTATTGTGATACAGGTGGAGTCATATTGACTATCTGCGGCACGTACCGCATCATCATGGTCCAGTTCAGGAACTTTGTTCTGATATACCGAACTAAAATAGTTCACAAAAGCGTCGGCCGCAGATTGCCCAACAAGTTCGACACCACTGGAAGAATAAGCGTTCATACACTGTCTGTGATTCTTCCTATTCTTAACGTACTCCCAGAATTTGGCCGGGTCGTCAATTATATTTTGTTGAGTCAGATGTAAGTGCTGCTTATATGCATTGTCAATCAAGTTTTTAACATGCCATCTATAGTATTTAAATAATTCCTTGTTGAACTCTTTACCTTCAGCCTTATACCGTTTCAAATGATAATATTTTTTACGTATATTACATATAATATCAACATTAAACCATTTTGGATATAGGTACTTATAATTCGGCATGTAAGGGGATTTAGTTGGAACATATTGACTGATACAATTATAAAGACGGTGATAGAATAACGCAACTGCGTCGTCAACGTCTGCAATTACAAACATGTCCGACCAATCTATACTTTTTAATGCCATGTATAGGCCCAGAAAGTCTGCTTTACGCCAATTCCAGCTTGGAGCAGCTCCCGGGCTCTGAGCCGGCGGTGGAGAGGATGGTGACTGGACCTGTGCATCGCACTGAAACCTAAGCGTTACCTCCAGCGGAGGGTGATACTTATCAATTGGTACTAAGGGATCTGAACCCTCGGACACTAAGACCAGCTCCGGGTTAAAATTGCTCAACACGAGATCTAACATGCCATCATATTTATTATACACTATATTATGCTGCTGAAGCCCACAATAGTCACAAAATGAATTAAAATTATTCTTAACATTAACTCTACAAGAATTCAAATTAAAATCTCCTATTATTAGGACATTAAGAGAATAATATGCAATGATAGCATTTTCAATGCACGTCAATACGTTGAGATATAGATTATCATTACATTTAGGAGGCAAATAAACGACAAACATAAAAACTTTTCAACACTTTTTCCACTAATAATGGCAAAAAGCAATTCCATATCAGACGTATAGGCATCTACATTAGTTACTTGTTGCACCGTATAGCAGTTTCGTACAGCAAGGAGCACTCCTCCCCACCCGACGTCCCCTGTGCGGTCTTTACGTACGACTAAATATTCGGAAGTAAATAATTCGCCATCAAATACGGAACTGTTCAAAAAGGTTTCGGTCAAGGCTATAACATCAAAGTTACATTGAGACACATTATTCCTAAAAGTATCCGATTTAGTACGTAGACCTCTAACGTTATGATAACAGAAATATAGGTTACGCACTTTCTTTCTTGGCACGAAAGTTCTGCCGCCACGGCTTTTTACAGATGTCTTCAGCCCAATTATTTGGTGACATAACACTCTCGCTAATCCTCGACGGGACTCCAAGCTTGAACGATGAGTAACGTCCCCTTGCTTTCAGTTCTTCCACTGTGCAATCATTATTTCCACTAATAGAGTAGAGATGAGCACGCACCTCTTCTACTGTGGTACCCTCTTGAACATAATAGAGATGCAAGTACCTCCATCTCTCAGATGCACGCAGTTTTGTCACCCCCAGCGCTGCAGTACCGCGAAGCACGCCAGGCACCGAAGCGCGTCCAGTTTTACGTCTCACCTGTATCCATTCTTCCGGTTCTTTTTGCTCCACGCCATCCGGGGGAGCAACAGTTGTTTCACGGCTTACACTCAAAATCGAAGTGTTGGAATCAGAGACTAAAGTTGAAACTGGCGCTAAAGAAGAGATGGGTGTGTTTACTTTTGCATTAAACACACCCATGTTTACTTTTGCGGGTGGATTAGGTTTGCCCGAAGCTCCCTTATTTTTCTCCTGAGGGCCAGATTTTACTTTCGGCTTAGTCTTCCCATTATCTAGGTTCAATGGGTGCTGTACCGCCGCTGCATATCCCTGCGTGGATGCACTATTATCTTTGTCCATTTTTAGGATTATTTTTTTCTAATTTGTCAATCTTATTGGTTAAATTGCAATTTTTTTCAAATACCGAAGTCTTAAATTCATTAAATTGCCCGTTGAATAGTGCGCAAATTTTCATGGTAAGGCGCGATTCGAAGTCGTCCTGCATTTGCTTTATTTCTTGTACTACAGGGGCCATGTTTTGGGGACAAGGGTCACATTTCATCGCCACTAATTGCGCAGGACGTTTCCCGTTTCGAAACGTGATATTATCTGGGGTATACATTGATACATCCAAACAATCACCAACGGCAGTCGTATCATTATCAAGATTAGGTATTTTGCTACGGCATTCGAAACATATCCACACCTTTTTAAATTCTGATGTCGTTGTTGCAAATACTTCCGCACTAAAATTGGCACACATAATATCGAAATATTGCCTACATTTTGCGCACCTCATGAATGCGCTGTCTTCCATAATAACACCGCTGCATCCTGCGCAGTTTACTTGGCATGACGTCATCTCGACCACTGCACAGAATGTTCGATTACATACCGGTCTCGACTGACTAGGTGTAGAAAGTTCTAGTCTGGAATTTTCTAGAAAGATCTTGACTCTCCTAGTGCTGCTACTGGGTACTAGATGGCGCTAGTGGTAATTTGTCATGTACCAGACATTAGTTATAGCGCGCAACATTACTATCGGTTTCAGTTTTCCTCTATTGACTGAATCCTACCTCTTATGATCTGAAGAGATATTAATGCAATAGCAGCCGACTAGGCTCAAAATCATCATCATAATCTGGTCATCTATACAACCCATTACAGGTGCACAAGTGAACGAAGATCTCCTCTATAAATTGCCACAAATCAAGGTTCTGAGCCAACAGCGTCCATCGACTCTATTCGCATGTTCAAAATAATAGTAATTTTTGGTAATGTACAGTAATCAATAAATAAATTGTATAGTATGTATGGTGATAGAAATGATAAATTTAATCACAGTTTCAGTTTAGTTAAGATACCATTTATCTGGTGAATGATAATATATTATTCATTCGCCTATAAGCTTTAAATATTTTATTATGCTCTTGAATAATATGCTATTATGTTAACGCAGGTCACGTAGTAAATTTCTGTTGTTAAGCCTAGAATTGCCAAGAAAATTTAAGTAAAGTTTGTTATATTCGATAACTTTAGACATTGTACCGCTGAACAGGTGAAGTATGTTTTGAAACTGTGATAATAAAATAATCATAAATTAAAGTTTCAAATAGATTATTTGATGTAACTTGCATACGTACTATTCCATTTTCTAATACCACATATTACTTAATTGGCAAAATTACTTTCATATTTCATAATAATAAGCCAGCCAGCATAAGCATATGGCAGTTTAAATAATACTAGTTTTTACGGATTTTATCGCGTATAATTAACTTTTTAAAATACCCGACGTTTCGAGCACTTTACAGCTTATCCTTTAGTGTATTTTGATTATTTTGATGTATTAATTCATTAATTGAAGGCTTGTTTTTATACATATCATAAATAAAGTATTTTTATGAGTTTAGCTATTGTTTTTTTCTCTACTCTGATTTTTTTAAGTATTATATGACCACATTAAAGGTGCTATAGAGCGACTTCAAAGAGAAGAAATCACTTTAAATACTTTTAAACTTGATTATTTTTTAACAGCTCCTATGAAATGTTTATAGTTATTCAAAATTCTTTTTTATTTTATTTAAATTAATACCAATAGTCTTATTTTTGTACAGCTTGGGGCAAATTTTGGCCATATCATTTAAGGCTATAATCTTAAAGAAAGAGTAATTGGCTATATAGTAAAGATTTTGGCCCGCACTTTTTACTCTATATAACTGATCGTAATTCGTAACGCAAAACGAAACGTTTTTTTACATATACAAAACTGGTCATAAATAGGTCATTTATGTTAAATTTATTTCGTTTTTTTATGTTCTTACAGATGCATTGGAACATGTACTCGCTTTAAAAATAATTTTATATTTTCTGTATGAAAATCTTGTAAAAGTCAAGTATTTTAATGATTTTGCTGATTCTTAGAATTGTTTTCTATTACTTATCAGTATGACGTTAAAAATGTTATAGACGAAGTGTAATGCTGTACTTAAATGTAATAACTTAGAATGTCAAGTGGACCGGCTACGCTTTGTTATTTTACACGACTTTGGTGGGGTTTTGTACACAAAATGTAAAATTATTGATAAATGAGCATAACTATTAACATTTTTAGATTTTATACAATATAAAAACACCCCTGCCCGATCCTAAAGGACAATGAGTACTACGTGTAAGATTTAAATCATTTTTTATAACCAACTAATCATTAATTGATAAATGAAACCTGGGATCAACGGAGGTCCAAGTCATGAAGTCTAGATATTTTTACGCGTCGGCTGCCCGCACCGCATGTATTCCACATGTATTTAGATTTCATTTTATTTTTGGCAAAGTATTTTATTTGTATATTATTCTCTGAAAAGTATTAAATGAACATAATCATATCAGGACAACTAAGGCACCGTCACGTGTCGCACAGGGTTTATTTATATAGTGTCGTATATACTAATCTCAGGTAATTAACAAATCTCACTGTAGTATCGGTTAAACGTGAACTGAGATTAATATCGCCAAGGATCACGATCTCTGCGGATGGGTCCTGCTGCAACAGGGAATCTGTAGCCATATGGACGTAGTCGCTATGTCGGTCTATTACGACATTACCGCTATGGGACATATAGAGGCACATGTAGACGTGCGGGCGGACGGTCGTCACTGTCTAGGCGTAGCTAAAGGATGGACAGATCCAAACCTTCAAGACTGCCGAGGTGTCGAGAACAGATGTTCTCTCTGAAATATACGCAAACTTTAGCTCCAAGCAAAAGAAGTGTTCCAGTTTGTAGCCCGCGTAAGAGAGATACGAATTATCGGCCGGAAAGGACACCTACGTCTCGGTCAGAAAGAACAAGCCAGGCTTCGCCATTTCCAGATAGTAGTGCATGATGATTAGGTTCGAGTCAAGTTTTTTTTTTATAGGATAGGGTGACAAACGAGCACACAGTCCACCTGATGGTAAGTGGTTGCTGTGGCCCAAAGACATCTACATCTATCCTCGATTACGAATCAAAATGCAGATGCGTTGTCACCCGTGAGGACTAAGATGGAATGCCTCGTTTCCAATAAAAAGGGTCTCCGGTTCTCTACACTTACCATACGAAATACAGCAGCATTAAGCTACTATTTCACGCTGGTATTCTGTGAGAGCGTGGTCCTTCCCCGGTCGAGCCGACCCATTCGTGCTGCAACTATACTACTAATATAACTGCAGCATGGCTCTACCACGTATAAGTTCCTTGATGTTGCAAAAATGTACGGATAGCGTGGCAGGGGTCGCCTTGGTCTTATTGCTCTGTTTGCTTCGAGTAATTTTTGTCTGGAGCGGAGTTTTGCCCTTCCCAGAATACGCGAGGAAGCCTGAGCACCCAAGCTCAGTAGTGAAGTAGCTTTGTCGTGGATGCCTAGCGAGGAATTCTTCATTACCTGTGGAGCTGGTGTGGTATTCTGGAGTAGTATATTATTTAATTCCGCTACCATATTAATAGCGGGGTAGGGGTTGGGAGGAATTGGGACTTCGGCCATCTGCACTCGCCAGGCGAAACGCAGAACCTTTAGAGATACGTGCAACAGCAAATAGGCGAGCACGAGATTATATATTGACTTATTTTACTTATATCTATGTGATTATAAAAAGAATGTATGCTATGCACAAAAACAGTGTTCCATGCTCTCTCCGCTTCATATAAATTGTTCATCATCATCATCATTACAACCCTTCACAAGTCCACTGCTGAACATAGGCCTCCCCAAATAATGCCACAAAGCACGGTCCTGAGCCACCTGCATCCATCGACTTCCTGCATATCTTACCAGGTCGTTACTCCATCTAGTGGGGGGTCGCCCTACACTACGCCTACCGGTACGAGGCTGCCACTCGAGAACCTTTCTTCCCCATCGGTTATCGGTTCTTCGAGCTATATGGCCGGCCCATTGCCACTTCAGCTTACTAATCCGTTGGGCTATGTCGGTCACTCTGGTTTTACTGTGGATATCCTCATTTCTGAGTCTATCACGCAGAGAAACTCCGAGCATAGCCCTCTCCATAGCCCGCTGAGCGACCTTGAGCGTCCTCATACGGCCGGCAGTGAAGGACCACGTCTCAGATCCGTAAGTCATCACTGGCAACACGCACTGGTTGTACAATCTAGTTTTAGAGATTGAGGTATACCTGACGAGAAGATACCTATGTCGAAATTTCCCGAACGCTGCCCAGCCGAGTTGAATCCGTCGATTGACCTCTCGGTCGACGTTGGACTTAACTAGTCGGACTATTTGTCCCAGGTAAACGTACTCGTTAACAACTTCGAGCATAGTGCTCCCAACAACTACCGGCATAGGTGTGACATGGACATTAAACATAATCTTTGTTTTGTCCACGGAGCAAATATAAAGAGGAGACGGCCTAAGCGACTGTGCACTGTGATTCTAACTAGGTCCTGACGTCATCACAGTGGGCGTGGCTTTAGTTAGTATACTGTCAGCGTTGGTCCTGTGCGCATCGGTGTCGAAAATTGCAAATCAGTGTATTTTCGTATTATTAAGAAGAAAAGGATGAAGTGTTGTGTTTTATCGTGTAAAAACTACTCAGATAGACGATCTGATGCTATGGATGGTATCACATTTCATGTGTAAGTAATTATATATCTAATTTCTTAAAATAATTCTAGAAAGATCTCTTTGCATCGGCTTTCAAATATAATTAAATATATTCGATACTAGATGGCAGCACTTTGTGTCGTGTGAACTAAAAATATAAAGGTAAGTCGAGCTCAGTATTGGTAAAACAATCATACGATGGTGCTGAAATTGTTTTTTTGAAGTTGGTTTCAGTCCTAAAGAATTTTTAATCTCCAAAATACTAC